AAGCAAAAGTCTTGAGGGTACTCAAAATGAGACACAAGACTTGTTTCAGTCGACATCTAGTGAAAAAATTTGCCAACGTGCGTACCTTAGGTAAAGTTGATTATGAAGACAAAAAAGCGCTTATAAAGCTCTAAGCCTCATGAACGACGATACAGAGCTTTACTAAAGTTTCCTTCAAATGTACGATGAATTTTTGCTTACCGGTGTCATCGGTGACGAAGGCATTGGAAAGAGTGACACAGCAAGCTGGAGCGGATGGATTCACTGGACACTGCAGATGTTCATTGTAAGACAAGAAAAATTATAAGCAAGTAATATAAAAATGAAATGTGAGAGATATATCAGCATCAAAATTTCGTTTTGTTTTCAGTTGCTGTTTTCGCCCTGACTGGAGTCCTCCAGCAGCCCAGTCTTGACACACACATTATGCCCTTAGATATGGAGGATACTCACAAAGACAGATGGCTGTTTTCACTCTCTAAAAAGACGTCTCGTTCATATCATGATCAGCAGTCATGGTTGAAAATGAGAACGTTGTTACTGATGTACTCCTGACAGTAGCATACTACGATGGACCTTATGCCCACAAAATACCGAAGTTCTTAATTGACCATAGTATAAGTATTCTACGATGATGTGGTCATATGAACAAGAAAGGAAGTTAGATGTTGGCGTTACATTTGCACATCATAGCTATACTCTGCAACCTAGACGCTCGGGCCAGCCTCTATAGAGGCATAAGGTATCGTCTAATTGTAGTGGACTTTCTGTTAGATACTGACACAACTCAACATCGACGGACCCAGATTTAGGTACCGTCAAGTGAAGTCAACCGAGTCCGTCCAGCATCAACTATAACTCTGAAATTTTCTCCTTTTCCTCAAGGATTAACTGCGTATCAATTCGTTATTTTTTCTTACTCTTCATTAAGATGTATCATGCCCTTGGTTATCACAAGCATTTCGCAAATTCACCGATTCCTAGCAGGACTCACGGAATCAACGATTCACCAGATCGTTTATACTCACTAGACCCTACCGCTTAGCGAATACGCTAAAGCCGCAAAGCATGAACACATTGCAATGCAAAACTTAACTATGAATATTTTACATGCTTTACGCGTTTGGCACTTATTTGCACGAGGTGAGACAACCACTTCTAATAAATTTGCAAAGTGGAAAGTATAAACACCATTAGCGTTTGTGCTGAAAAAAGTTTGCTTTTTATTGAATCCATTAAGGCAATGCCCATAGTCGAATGTCACTCGATGATAACCTAATCTTGCTCATTATCCGCTGGAAAAGTGTCTAGCCGTTAAATGCTTATGCTATTCAAATACAGCCCATTCGCCACAGAAAGGGACCTATAAACCGACTAAAAGCCAACCACAACTCAGGAACATAATATTCCGCTTTTTTTTTNTTTTTTTTTGTAGGACGAGCTCACAATTCACGAGGTTCTCACGGCCTTGAGGGACCGAGAAAGTTCCAATATTGGCCAACGTTATGATACGTCGGCATCATTGTGATATCTGGCTCTGGGAAAGAATTACTGCAATGAAGAGCAGAGGCACAACGTTGCTTAGGTAGTGCAATTCGCCTGGGATTCAATGCAAGATTCTGCGAGCCCTAACTATTCTGAGAAGCTCTCATAAAAACCGCTGAAACACAAATGTTATTCGACTCGAGGAAATGTATTGCTATTGGAAAATGAAGGAAAAACTAGGAAAGGAAGGAAATTGGTAATGAAACAGTTACTTGAAGCCAAAAAGACGGGAAAGTGAAGTAGGAGCGAGCACCCTGCGTGGAGCGCTCCGGCGTGGGTTCCCTCCACCACCGATTTTTGATCTACCGCGATCGATCTTCTGCTGCTTAGCTTCTTCATCTATTGGCTCTTATTTAGTTTTGTAAGTATCGTACGCATATTGTTCATATAAATATTGTGAAAAGGGAAAGGCTGAATGTGAAAGTGGGTAAAAGGACGCTGTACGCTGTAGTTTTCAGTGAGCTGGTTTGATTGACAGGATGGCTCTGGGCTGTAAGTGAATCGTAGATCAAATTCAATAAATCTATCAGTGAATCGATTCAAGAGAGACCTGATTCGGACCGTCTCTGAAAATCGAAGACATGACTAAGGCTCAGGAACTCGCACAAAAATGACTCAGGGGCGGAGCGTCACTTAGGGGCGTTCCGGAACAGGCCCTTTCTTCTCTCAAGTCGATTAAACAGGCCAGGCCCTTACTTTTTTGAAATCGATTCACTGGTATAGGCCCTGATTGTGGGAATCCCTCCATGAAGATCGGATGTTCACCCCACATATTCATATAATGCGCACACAAAGGACGTTTTTTTCTCCGATAGTAAGATTCATTGGGCTCGAGCGACGCCGCGCGGCGAGACAACTAACTATAAATCATCTTCTCCGAGAGTGCCATCACTCAACTCGTTGCTAGGAACACGTCAAGTGCGTGGCGTACTTTTAAATGGAGAGATTAATTGCGCTTGAAGGGGTTGTCTTGCAATCAAGTGAACGGGCAGCTTGGAAAACTACAGAAAGCTCATTCAAAGTAGAATTCATTTCCACATTCCCACGTTCTAACGTTATTCTACCTATGAACTTGAATAGCAGGTGCTTTTGATTTGTAGCTTCGAAGATGGAATAACTGTTCAAGTTAAAAAGAACATACGTCCTTCAGAGGAAAAGACAGCTGCAGTTTTTCAGCCTCTCGGCAAAGCCGTTGAAATGGTGAGCTGATCAGGGTGAAACAAATTGGACCCGCGTACTCATGATTGATGATGAGGCCTTCTTTACGAATTGCCTAAAAAAGATGAAAGATGATCCTACTTACTATAAAGCGCTTAGTCTGTCTGTCTNAGCTGATCAGGGTGAAACAAATTGGACCCGCGTACTCATGATTGATGATGAGGCCTTCTTTACGAATTGCCTAAAAAAGATAAGATGATTTAAGGACTATCCTCTCTCGGTAGTATATTGAAATACTAATTCTAAGCCAGTTTTTTTTTTGAAGATTTATCGACCGAAATCACGAAGTGACTCATGTGGGGAGGTGAAAAAGCTTTTATAGGGGCGATGAGGTAGCTTGCATAGGAGCCTTACGCTCTAGCCGAGGCAGTGTATGTATGACTTGTTGTAAAGGAAAAGAAGCAGGGTAGTAGTCTAATAGAACAGAAATTAGAAGAGTTTTGGGCAAATATGCGAGACATGGTCCTTTCTTAATAGGTCTCAGTTTCACATCTTCGAAATACGCTTTTGTCCCCAGTACACTACCACTCCCTTTTCACTACCTCCAACATAGGTAGTTTTCTCACTTGGATCTGTCACTTGGAAGTAACACTGCTTTTAAAACTTGTGCTACGTAAACACCAAAAGATGGAACTAGAACAATACTGAGAGAGCTATCCATCATTCTGCTGTGGAAGTTACGGTGCTCTGAGATCCTGGGGTGCAGACGATAGAAAAAAAAACTTGAGAGGAAAAAAGAGTGGTGTTTTTTATGGCCCAATTGCTGAGAATTGACAGTTACCGTAACCTGTTATTTCGTTTGTTTTTCGATCTACTCAGAAACCTTATAATAGCTTCAAGGAAGTCATTAATCCACCATTGCATCCAGCATCATTAAATATAAGGCTAGCGTAAAATAACAAGTTCTTGTTAATTTACGGAAAAGTAGCCAAAAATGGAATCATCCCCCTGGGACCTGATTAGGACTTTACAAATCAACTTCTTTTAGCATTCATTCACCTTTTTTGTACAGACAAATTATCGTAAACCCGATGCTCAATAGAGGCAATCAGTGGTAATACTGCAGGACCTTTTCCTCAGCTGAACAGTAAACCCTCCTCTCGCCATTTTCGCGTAGGTAATAAAAAAGCACAAAAAAGTAAAGTAATGGGTAAGCAAGAAGTATAGGAAGGGAGCCGAGAAAGGAGGAAACCTATATGGGCAGGACGGGCATCGTGAAAGGCTTCCTTTGGGACGGGAAACTCAGAATTTGATCCAATCTACTGGATAAAAAGGGGAATTACCCTTACTTAACCCATCAAAAAAGGTGTTACCCTGCACCGATTAGCAAACAACTGTATCCATCCTTACTATGGTTGAATACTTCCATGTAGGTCTTTAGCTCAGCACCTCAGAGTAATCCTAGATGTTTTACCTTTTCAAAGAGCGTCCTGTGGTATTGGCGACTTAGATCGTCGGTTCTGGAAACGAGGACGTAGTCGACAGGAAGTCGAAATGGGAAATATGGATAGTCGATCTCACAGGTAGCACGAAGATGGCTGGTGCTTGGATTGCAGCCGGACTGTTTCTCCATTACCGTTCACTGATGACAAGGAGAAGGAGGCATATACCCAATGGACAAAACACAAAGTCCTTCTGCGGCTGTTATGGGCATTCATGTGTTGGTGTGGTTGTCATGGCGATCAGTTTCAATGTCGTACAGGTTTCCATTGGGCTATTTGTCATACTCACTCGAGAAATGTACCGACGTATGCCGACGTTTCATGGGAATAATTAAATTTGTAAAGTAAGCCTAGAATTCAATTACAAATTTGTATGCCGTTGCTGCTGTGTTGTTACACTTTCTTCATCAACCTCCTTCTTAGTATTGGAGTTGTTCGAGTCTGTCTGAAGCTGACAAACTTCCTTTTCCGGGTATTAGCTCCTCGGTGGAAAATAACGGCTCTGAAGTTCAGTAGGCATTTGAAAGCTTTCCAGACTCGTCGAGGAACAGTCTTACCGACGCGACTTTTTTGTTATATTCCTACGGAATTTCGTATTAACTGCATAATTTTCAGAACAAAAAACCGTAAATGATTTATTAATTAATATGAATAACATACAAAAATACCCGCATAGTTTATCCTTCAGTTTTGAGCACTGTACAATACCAAATTAGAATCCTATCCTAGACGTTCACATTAGCTGGCCGCTGGTCAATGTCGGTAATCCGCAATTAATCGTGCTAGCCGCAGTAATTAATTCCAAACGACGACGTCGGTCTCGGTTAGTATGATCATAGTGATGAAAAGCAGATAGATGAGTATCAATACGATAGCATGTGGTCGTCGTAGGTAAAATCTTTGCACAAAACATGCTGAAACGACTTCAATTTCTTTACAAAAAGCCAAAACATTTCGTTAACTGAAAGGCAATTTAGACAGGATATTTACTATTTCACCGTCAATCAGGCTCACGAAAAGTTTCCTTACCTATCAAGGTGGTCGACAACGATATACCAAGAAACAGAACGAGCATCTTGTAAGTTGGATTGAAATCGATCTGAAGAAAAGAGTATCCGAATAGAAACCATAAACAGCGAGATCGCGGAGCGGATAAAAAATCAATACTCATTCTCAAACACATCGCTAGCGATGATGTCCTAGATTAGGCAAATGCGGTTAGGCGATTAACTCACCGTAACTGTCCTTCCTTTAGCTTTGGCGATAAGGAACGGTAATCCGAAACCAATAAGTAAGTCTAAAATTGTTGTAGAAAGGTATCAAAACTATGAATTCTAACAAATACAGCTTAAGTGAAAACTCACTGAAAAGGGGTCCACCTATGGCGGCAGAAATAGCCATTCGAGGATAACCTTGCTTCACAACAGAGATATCAGCGATCAAATCACCAATACTATTACTCCATGCGAGGATCGTCAACCCAAGTACCTGAAAACTGAGCAATATCTGGCTTAGGAGGATGCTCTTTGGGCTACTGGGCTCTCTTCATAGGACCCGGGAAAGTGCATGTAGCGCCCCCTACTCCTAGTCCATAAAAGTGCGCTTCTTGTAAGTACTAGGTCCAAAACATCGCTCCTACTATAGCCAACAGCAGAGCGGAAAATGGCCTCATAACCAATAGCAAGCAGTACCTTTCCCTAACAAACAGGGAAGGCTCGAAGTCGACGGCGCTCCTACTGGGGGAGACTTAGCCCACAACCTGCACGAGACCCCTACTCAGAGAAAAGTGGCTTTATAGGGCGCCGTATTGTCGCATTCCATAAACGACATAAATAGGCTTTTACTTCGATTTCAGTCGCTCCTTTCCTTTGACATTACCACGGTCTAGTTGGTCATTGATCTTTAAGTTTTTCACGCTTGAGACAGTTATCAGAGCAGCTCTACTGATATCAGTATTCGTGACGGAATCATGTGTGATTTTTTGGCGATAATTCATTTTGCCAGCTACTGACGCCATCAGATTACATTGATAACATGCGCCAAACGCCTGCTTCGGCGATAAAACACTTTGGAATTCTCCCGACTGGTTTTTCTTCGCTATATTGGATACTCGTTTTTTCATCTATTGCCTTTGTGCCACAAAAGAGGTTCAACAATAAGCCTACCTCATGAGATATCTGCGAGATCACTCCAAACATTGTCACCACGCTCACTATTTCAGACGAAATGAAATAAATCCATGAGATCGACATGATAAAGCCAACATAAGACGCGGTTTCCTTAACGAAAAGTATAACCACTACTCGACTAAGAACGACTAATGAATACCAGAAACGATCCCATACCTCATAATATCTGGGCTTCACTCCCATACTTGTAAAAATCGAAAGTAAAACAATAACTATCGCTGATAGTATAAACGCGTATGCATAGAGCCCTGGGCTTCCGTCAAATGGTTTGAATGTCAAATCTGAAGTTCAGGAAATCACTAATGTTGCAAGTTTGCACAATCACTTTGGCTCTTTCACAAACGCGACAGCCACATCCACTTCCCATACAAATACAATAATAATATTATAATAACACGTATATAATAAAAAAAANAAAAAAAAGTAACAACGTACACTGTATGGCGAAGAGAAACCATTGCGGAGCACAGATAGCCTGTATGATTGCTACTGCTTTCGACCAACTTGTCTCGTTTAGCGGAATCGTCAGCTTCAGGAAAACCATCCCTGGCATCTGGAAGGGAACAGATAGGCTTGGACGTATGAGGTAATAATGACTGCTGAGTAGTGTTTTCAAAGAATTCCCAACTGAAAGCCCTTACTTCTGCACACGTTCTTCCCATATCAGAGCTTGCAGACGCTCTCGTCAGGGACAAACTTTGCTTTTCATGATCAGGTTGAGAACAGTATCTGTTAACATACCTTCACAACGCTAAGTATTTTGCTCAGCAAGCCTTGTTCATCCCAGTCGTCTGGCAATGGATGAAGATGCTTCAAAATGTCGTAAAAGAAGGATTGTACGGATACGATTTTCATTGGTGGAGGTACTGAAAAGACTACAACTAGTTTGGAAAATATCCCTGTCTTGAATACACATTACTTCTAACGTCAGTCTGGCGACGCAGCGCAACCGCACGCGGCAGCTATCGTTGCCCCCAAACAGAACAACTCAGCTCAACTAATAAACTAATTTCAACAACAAAATTCGGTTTGTAGCCATAATGCCTTCGAAATCCAAAGGTTTGAAGTCCAGAAAANGAAAATAACAGAGTTAATACTTACCAATACTGGCTACTCTACTCCTTACGTCAGGTCCAGTGAAGACATGATGATGTGAAACTATGAACTCCTCCTCTGACTGCTCCTCCATATCGCTACCATTTTCTGAAGCTTTGCAAAATGTACTACAACGTCCTGGTATATGGCGACATTACAGTCGTCTTTAGTCGACAGTGATTGAATGACTGGCCACCAACCTGCATTTTCCTCAACAACCGTTGAAGCTATGGCAGCTGCATTCATTGGGAAGATGTTGAGAGTATCACCATGGATCGCGATCGATATTCGTTTCGTGAACTCCTTGCGTTTATTCTCATCCAGTGCGTCACCGTTTATAGTTTCGCTAGCTAGATACAGAACAAGATTAAGTGATTTGTCAGTTTGCAAATACCTTGTAGTACAGCAGATATGCGCTCTTGATCTTCCAATCAAGTTATCAATGTACGATAGATTATCTCAATTCCTCGGATGAAAAAAAAAACGAAATGGAGGAACCGGCTAAATATTAGAAAGTATAAACAGCGAAGAGAGCGCAGCCGACGAAAAACGGATGAAAACGGACACCAGTATGAGATCGGTAAGAGCAATGATGTGTAGCATGTTAGATGAAAAAGGGGAGGCCAGGACGAGTTTATTTTGAGATCTCTCAAATCGTTTATACCTTTGATAGTGAGTGTAAATCGGACGGCTTATCAAAATTTTTTTGAAAAAATAGAATGAATGGATTCTTGGAGACTGAGCGACACACAGATATTCAATTTTCAGTTTGGTTGGAGTATGCAGATTCTCTCGGAAGATTTTTTAATTCTCAGAAAGCTCTTTTAGTTTCTGCTTTCAAAGTTATCGGTTCAGAAAATGGCTTTCACAACTGTCATTAAAACGGGGGATTCAATAGGGACGAGTAAGATNCCATGGATCGCGATCGATATTCGTTTTGTGAATTCCCTTCGTTTGTTCTCATCCAATGCGTCATCGTTCATAGTTTCGCTAGCTAGATACAGAACAAAATTAAGTGTTTTGTCATTTTGCAAATACCTTGTAGTACAGCAGATATGCGCTCTTGATCTTCCAATCAAGTTATCAATGTACGATAGATTATCTCAATTCCTCGGATGAAAAAAAAAANGTTAGATGAAAAGTCGAAGGCCGAGAGTTTGTTTTGAGATCTAGCAAGTCATTTCTACTTTTGGCAGTGAGTTCAAATTGAACGGCTCATCAAAAGCCTATTTGAAAAAATCGAATGAATAGATTCTTGGAGACTGAGCGATCCACAGATATTCAATTTCTCAGTTCGGCTGGTGTATGCAGATTCCCTCGGAAGATTTTCAATTCTCGGGGAGCTATTTTAGTTTCTGCTTTCAAAGTTATCGGTCCAGAAAATGGCTTTCACAACTGTAATCGCCACAGGGGATACAATAAGGACGATTAATATTTCGACTGAAAATCCCGAAAAACTTCTTGTCTTGATCTTCACTTTACATCTATATGGTATACGGTCGCTGGTGATGATCTACTATCAATGCCGTCGACCCCTCGTTTTGTCGACGACATTTTTCGTCGTCTGCGCTCTCCTCATAACTGATAATCTCTAATTTTTTGCCAGTCCCTCAAATTCCAAGGAGCGGTTTTTTCCGAGTAACCATCGATGGCGAAGATTACGACTACTGAGCTCGCTAGCCCACTAGCCGATTTAAAATATTTGATGATCGAAAGCAAGCAATTTTGGAAATTTAACTGTAGTTTGCATGTGCTGACTAGAGGGTATGCTGAGGATTTCAACTATAAGTTAATTCTGTGAACCGCCAGTTTTGAAATGGTTCTTTAGGAAGGAAATAGGACACACCCATACCACTTTGATCTTGACGGTGGAACACACGGCCTAAACTCAATTGGCGATACATCCACCGGCAAAGCTACTTCCGCTGCCCCTCGAACCTCAGGAAAAGCTTAAGCACATGGAATCCTCACGAATGGGATCATATCAATTGTAAAAAGCTACTTCTCGCATCGTGGTGCTTAACCTTGCCCATTATTGAACTTCCCTTCACAGGACCAAAATCGCACTATTACTGCTAATCTCAACTAGTTAGCTCCGCCTACTTGCAAGTCACGCCTATGACCGATCGATGTAAAAGTAATCATACATTCAGTAATATTAAAAATTGTTTGAAAAGCGGTAGGAAAGGATGAAAAGGCAGGTCAGTGTTATTCTACAGACGAATGGAAATTTAGCTAATTTTATAGCTTCTACGGGAAGAAGCATACAGGAGTCCACGAGTTGGTCGAGTTCGACATCTTCAGAAAGCAAATGTTTGTTGGTCATCGACTATCTCACTATTTTACTTGTACGACTCACATTTTATCTTTTCTACAGCATCCGATATGATGTTAATATCCGGCACAGTGGGGTAGACACCTGAAAACTCGAAAAATTCTTCGTCTTTGTAAACGTGTGGGTTTTCTTCAGTTTTGTGATTCGATTTGCGTCGTAATATCAGAGAGTAAAAGAGATTGGAAGGGAAATCAGAGACTACAAGTTATGGTATCAGGTGGGAGGCAAAATTTGGGTACCAGCTTAGTTTTTAGCGCAGTGTCCCTCTAATAACTTGTTTAAAGACCTACTTCCTCGACGCGATACAATGTTGCTGAAGTGTTTCTTAAGGCTGTTGTCACGTTGCTGTTTCTGAAATAGGACATATTGAGATAACCTAGGGCCACTGAAATATTCAAGAGTTACATCTTTCAACTCACTCTTTTCCTTTTGTGAAGGCGGTAACCAACAATGACAGTGATAAGATAAACAGCGTAAAGGCCAAGGTAGCCTAAAAACTTATCGAAATAATCACCAAATCAAAATGCCTCATTAACTTCCTTTGGCAAAAGGTCCAGCATTCATGAGCCGTACTCTGATTAACTTTGGAATATGTTTTAGCACATGGTGGACCCACGGTTCCTCAATGTTGCACCCCTTCCCACGAATTCCCAGCAAAGCATAAGATTGACTATTCCTCAGTGGTGTTTTTTTTTACCGAATTCTCAGGGTCAGAAGAAGTGGTATCGCTGCAATTACCGTAATCTTCGTAAATTCAAATCTTCTCCCACACAGCGCGCAACTGCGCGCCATCGGAAGCGGTAAGCGCGGCAGGCGCTTGAGATGGAGGAGCCTACACGGTCCAAAACCTACCTCGCTACTTCTTCAACGTCCCATCTATTTTCAGGAACGTAGTAACGAAAACAAAGGCATACCTGAAGGTTCCCAGATATAGACTTGGTGACTGTAGAGGAACACAAATAGAATCCATCCGAGAGCGATCAAATAGAAAATCAGATCTCGAATCGTTGCGAAAATATCGATTTTGAATGGACGCACTAATATTATAGTAGCAGTTACAACTGAGGTAACGAAGATGCCAGCTCCTTAAAGAGGATTCATCAGGAGGCAGATGAAAGTTCAGGATTGGTCAAGAGAAAGTTTACCAAGAAGTTCTCCAAGTGCTAAGCCAGCTTTTGGTTTTGGACTGCTGAGAACGGAAGCGATTGATCCGAAAATGTCTGGTGCTCCATTTCCAAATGCCATGAAGGTTACGCCCTGAAATTGGAGATTCCTCGATATTTCTGCTTGTACTCATATGGAGGGCTCGGACCGTCATTTGGTCTGCTAAACTGAACCCATCAAAGCTCCCTTGTCAACATGACCGTACACTGTTTTTTGTTTTGTATGGGGTAAAGATACAGAAGAAGCGTTGCGCCTACAGTACACCCATGGAGTAAACAAAGACTAGACTCAATGATAGTAGCCGACTTACGGCTATACTTTCGCTGATTTTCAAGTGGGCGACAATCCTTGAGACGTTTGGCGAGAAGAAATCGTCAGCTGTCGTCGAAACCATTATGAACAACATGAGCATCCAGAAGAAGCCCGCAACAATGACTGCTACCTGAAGTAGACTGTTGCTTTCACAAGTCCATTTATAGACCCTATTAATTCTCGCTTTCGCGAGGGAACCTTTCATGGCGACTGTGGTCACTTATATCTATGCTGGTGAGACCATCTAGTTCTAATCAATTCTAATTCAGAATATAATACTCATTTCCATATTCCCGGATGGGACAGAAACCACTAATTATTCTTATTTCTATGACCTGGTAATGAACAGAGTTGATTCTACTCATTAGTGTTGTGAGGACCCCAAAGTCTACAAATACTGGCTCTCACAATCAGCAGTGCAACGACTGCCTCCAGAGTTGGCGTTTTCACATTGCCAAAGTGCGCTTCCGTTGGCCACTAATCAATACCCACCCCCTGTAGTGAATGTAGACGAAGCTGCGAGTCGCAAGGCGCACTGGGGCAGTCGGAGACAGCTGTAAGGGGCATTCATGGCAAAGGTAAGAAGAATCAAATTGAGACAGACAGGTAGGCTTTACTGCTGTAAGGGCTGGACAACCTAGGGAGGTTTGGTGGGTTTTTCTGAGCTACAGGGTAATCTTTTTTTTTCGAAAGACAATCAAGTAAAACTGCGCGTCATCCATTGGAAGGTTAGCAATTGAGGATAAACAAACCTTTTTAGCAGTGTCGAATTGACATTCTACATATTGCGACCATAAAAGGTACCCGCCTCCTTCACATATGTCGTCGTGATAATTCACATAGTCACAGATTTCTAAACTAACGATATAATCATTACTAATATCGATCATTACTAACGATATAATCATTAGTAACATCCAAAAAGTCTTTTTTCAAAAAAAAAACTTAGAATGGACGGGTACTGGACATCTGTTTCTAGTCTATTTGGAGAATAAAGATGCTAAGTCTACCTATCAGCCCAATGCATAAGTCAAAGATCGCTCTATCTAGGAGAAATGTAAGGTGCATGGCGAGACCCGAAGAAAAAGATCCCAACTCAAGATGTTTATTTATCAAACCAAGTCGACAGCATCACTCAAAGAAAACTTCATCTCCTTTTGTCGTCACAATATTTGTTATGTGACATCACTACGGTTTGCATCTTCATCTTTTATAAAAGACCTCTATGTAAACAATGTCGCAGGAAAGGTTCGGAAATTTCAAGTCATTGAAGAAGTGACTAGGTAAATAATGACGACAGAAATTGCATTGAAGGGGCATTTGGACGAATTGTCTGAATGTGGGCGCCATTGCGTGGCTACAGTGAGCTGCCTGCGCAAGGTATGGGTCTCGGTGCGAATAATGCAACCAATACAGCTTAAAAACTCGTCCGTCTTGGATGTGCATGTCGGCTAAGCCAATTTTGGGACACTTAGCCCCATCTTGGCCGTTCATCCAAGTTTTTTAACTTAGAAATAATTTTCAATGTAAACTGTGCCTTTAAGCAGTTACAAACATTTGTGCTTGACGACAATGCCAGGAATATAATATTGAAGTCATTATTGCGACTCTCTGCTTACTGCTACTGCCATGGTCGTCGTTTCTACCAAGTCATTGCCCTCAGGAGCCCATCCTTAGGGCCAACTATTCGCTGTTTAGTTGGTATGCGAACATTTTGACCTCCAGTTGCAGCTACCCCACCATCCCCCAACTGGAAATGTTTGGAAAAGTATCTGCCCACACAAAGTCAGCTGCCCACATACGCCGATAGCTAACGTGATCTTGTCTCCGAAGACTTTTATTGTCAATAAATCTTATCAACTCCCACCTAAGGATCAATTTGCAATTCAAATGGGTGTCAACATAGTTTACCACCCACGTTGCTATTAGGGTAAAGTGATAGGGTTTTTTAGTACTTTGACTGCCGATCATTGCTCCCTTATCAGTTCCCATAAGGGGATAGAATCCCGAATTCGAGTGGGTGTTTGGAGGACTGCTGCTAATAATCACTGATGGTCTATCATGACTTTGTTTCTGAGGACATTGCTGTCAACTCTTGCCCCTTATCAGCTCCCACGTACGATGGAATTCACTACTGGGTGATTACACTAATGAACAACAATTAAAAATACTGCTTGGCTGAATGCACTACGTATTCGAACTTTGTTCAGAAAGCATTGGAGTGACTGGGGTTGGTTACATGCTTCCGTTCTATACATGGTAAGGTGGAGGGCAAGGAAGTGTAACAACCTATCTCCAAACCTTCCAGAGCATCCGGGCACCAGTTAACTTTTTCTTGAGAAATGACCTCCTCGATGAGCTTCGCCAGGGACTGAACTAGTGGTCCTGCGTTCGTAAATCGTCCATTTTACCCCTGGACCATTCTAGAAGGTTTTGACGGCTGAAGTTCTATTCGAGATTTATTTGTTCCCCAGACCCACCTTGTTTAGTCATATTTTTCCATACTTGGCAAACTTCTGGATTTCCACCGTAAATATTTGTGGAATTCGGGTTTGTGCCCAGCGACATCGTATCGGCATCGCTTATCGTTAGCCATGACAATAGAAGAACGATGCCAAGCATCTACGGTGACCCTGAAAGGACGGTAAAACTCGAAAAATGACACGAATCAAGAATTATTTAGAGAAGGAAAAGTAGGTAATGGGAGCAGTAAGAAGAGATGAGGAAGAGCCAGAATACGAATGGGTTGCATAGGAGTACATGCTCGACAACGACAGCATTTAAAGGTGACGATAACACAAACAGAGACTGACTGCAAGGTAACGCCAATAGAGAGCTAACAACGGAAGAGCAAAGTAAACATTCAACTTAAAAGTTACCAACTTATACTGGACCCTAAATGATCTCAATCAAAACCATTGAAATGAGTCAACTGATTTTCATTTACCTATCCTCTTAAAACGGATTTCTTTGGATCATTCCTAAAGCTTCTGACTTATGACTCAGGTGATTCCAATTAGACCAGGTTTTGACTTCGCGAAATCCCCTCCGGATCAGCCTTCAGTTCCTTGTAAGCTGTGGGATTTCAAACTTCCATATTTTTCTGAGTAGAGATCTAGGTTAAGGAGAAATGGGAACGATGCTTACAAGTATATGTGCGGACCAAAATCGCCATTTTATCTTCCAAGCATGCCAAAGGGTTCGAAATGCAATGTTGGACGAAACTGAACTAATTATTCACGGAAACGTATATTAAGTTTACTCGAGAAGGGTTGTAACGGAATGAGCTGCTGATTCGAACCAAAATTGAATCAAAAATTGAAATTCAAGCCTAGTAACAAATTTCATAATAGAAATTTTTCGTATTTTTGTATAATGCATTTCTTCAAAAATGTTCACTTTTTTCTGCTTTTCTTCATATTTTCAAATTTTTGGGCGTTTTGATTTATTTAATATGGAAGCTTCCAACTAAAACCTTGAGCGGGAGCAAATCCAAGTGCTAAGGCCGAGAATCGCCCATTACTCCCCTTACAGTGTATTCAAGGCTTATCATCCCTGGGTTTTGTTACTCTAGAGTGAAGTTCGTTCAAAGCTGACAAGCCCTATATTTTCCCATGATTTTGATGAGTTCTTTTCAATTCTGCTGAAAAAGGGTGCCTGACGTAAATCCGAAAATTTAACAAAAACAATAGTTTTTCTGTCTAATTGTTAGTCGTCACTAATCCCTGCCAGTCACCGGCTTCTATTAGTCAGGGCTGTGTTCCATGGATTAGCACGAGGGCTGGTCTCTGATCATCAAGGATTGGACAAAGGTGAACAGACCTTAAGCCAACGGCCGGATTACTTTTTCCATATGCCATGGGTACGGAAAAACAGAAACCTGTTGACTGTTTTCGTAAGTGCTGGGTACCGTCCCATGTGGGGATCGAATACTAACCCAATGCCGGTGACATACGCGAAAAGTATTTTCTCAAGTAGGTTCGAAGTTCACTCTGTGCTACCGTGCAGCCGTTTACACCCAGACGTTTTTCCTTATGACTCATCTCGTTTGATAACAAAGGCTTAACACTTCTACAGTGAAGTAGTTGACCAAAAGTCATTCAGTCACCTAATCTGGGTCTTTATCGTGGTAGGGAACAAGATGTGTGACCATAGTTCCACCAGTTGGAAATAAATGTCTCCAAAAAGTAAACAAAGTTTGAATAAGTAAACAAAGATATGAGCAGTAACTGTTTACCATCTACAATTTACAGATCTATACTGTCTCTAGTGATATACATAGTCTTAGATACCTTCTTACCTTCTCCCTTTCAGTTCATCATACATATCATGGACACCTTAGATAGAAGCGAAATAACTAATAAACAAAAGTACAGGGAACTGGTAAGAAAGTCATTGGAAGTCTCTTTCGAATTCCGGCCCACTATACTGCAGCAATGCAATTTCTGCTCAAAGGGCTGCTACCGACAATAATCAGAAGAAAAAGAAATAAGTTAACTGTAAACCGATGATGCACTAATCGGATTGCTTGGAACAATTCTCCCGAAGCTTTGATGTGATTCGGGGAAAAAACTGGTAATTCACCCGAACTTCGTCCTAGCTGATATGATCCTGATATGATCCTAAGTGAACAGTGAACTTTTTTAGATTGGCATCTCGATATGCTTAGAAGACGTCCTCAGATCGCTGTAAATAGCGAATAACTGACTTAGCCCAGGTAGGTACAGGTAGTTTCGAAACTGAAGGGTACTCAGTAGTAAAGTGACATCATCAAATTGAAGGAAGACCGGGCTAGAAAGATTTTGTGGTATAGACCCTGATGAGAAAGGGAAACAATGGGCAACGAGGCCAGGCCAATCTTAGTCCACGAGGGCAGAAACACATAGCCAGTGTATACCCACTTGGACAAAGTGAGGTCTACAGGGAATTTGAGGATATCCACCAGCAAAAGTGCCCTCTTACGTGAAAGCATGAAACACTGCCTATACTCTAGGAATGGCCCCGAAATCTTTAAGGCTTAGCGATTAGTGTGTTCAGGCTTTGCTTAGCGACGGGCCTTTTTTAATTGACGTTGAGCTTCCATTGTCTCCTACATAGGCCGTTTTCGCAGCGATGATGTCGCATCTTATCGAGAATAGCAGAAATGGCTTTTTGAATCAAAGTATGAAACTACCAGATAGGAATTAAAGAGTAAAAAAAAAGTTCATCAGGTGGGTAAGTAGCATTATGTGCCATCAATGGTCCAAGCATTCCCGGAACGCCGCTCCAGTAAGAGGGCATACACAGAAGCAAATCTAGATAGTGAGCACCTGCCGGCTCCTTCTAACCAGTTTTCGAAGCAATAAATTTTTTATCCGGTAAACCTGAATGAGAGGAAGTGCAATTTTGGGGAAGGCAGCCCGTACGAATTGTACTGTCTCTGAAAGGGCGTTGGAAGGGTAGAATCGGATTTTCTGAGATTTCCTGCAGATTGGACTGAGCTGAGCGGACTCGACATAAGTCGAATTAGCCACGAGCTGCCTACGTCAGCGTTCTTGCTGCACAGATTAGTCTGGAAACATTTGATCGCTGCCAGATGAGAGTGGCAAGGACTGGGCAGAAGGCGATGTTCGCAGAAAGAACAATTTTTTTCTTATCCGCTTGATGCTGTGAACTTGGAGTATGGAAATATGACGAAGTTCAAAATGGAAATCGAATTCTTCTCAGGAACCACTTGAAGTCAAAGGGCTAAAGAAGGGCGAAGGGGCATCCGTGCTGAGTTTCACGGTATCCTGGACAGATTCACCTATAAAAAATCAGTGTGGAATATTTAAAACGAAACGGGCGTTACTATCGTGCCCAGCACAGTCGTCTGTCCTTTAGGCCTGACTTTTCGGGGAATATCTTCCTGCCTCATTGAGGGCTTCGAAGTCCAGTAGTCCCTGTTCTCTTAAAAGTGTGTAGCGCCATGGTTCCACGATACTACAAAGGATTACGATAGATTAGAATAGTAGTCGAGGGCGACATTCATGAAAAGTAGCTCTATTCGGGGGATACAGTAAAGCCTAGATGGGCCTGGGCCAGATTTGTTGGGCAAAGTGAGGAACAATTACATCAGGACGAATACCATCCATATAAGTCTCAATCCAAGGCACCAAAAGAAGAGCCAAGTTAGAATTCCTCGGAGATTACACGTCCTTTTCAGAATTGAAACATTGAGACTCTAGAGAAAAGAAAGAGCAAGGACTAATGGTAAGAAGTTGTATTAATAAATTATCATAGTAATATACAGGTAATGGTAATACAGGTAATACAGGTAATACAGGTTGCACCAATGCCCTGTCGCCCTTCCTTAGAAAAATATGTTTGAGGTAAAGACATTCAGCATCTTCGAATATCATAACGTGCAGCGAGGCAACTAGTTAGTAATCGCCACGCGCTCTTATTGGAATGGTCATAATGCCCCACAGCCGGCCGCTGTTCAGAGTCCAATGGCGTACCGTTAAAGGTGAGGGTTAGAAGTACTTGGGTTAATATCAGTGGCACGTCATGAGCGCTAGACGTCGGCCTATGACACTTCACTGATTCTACTTTCCAATTCGATGCTAATTTTTCTCAAAACATCTGGGTAGAAAATGCTCGGTTGACCTGGGCAAGATCCATTCCGCTCAAGTGCACCACACGTCCCATAGGAACTCTCTCACCTCTTGGCGAAGTCCGGGAGCTCTTCGCGAAGCACTACCCGGGCTTCTTGAAGTTTTTTTTTNTTTTTTTTTCGCCATAGCCATTCTTGACTACTATGGTCGTCAATGTGGCAACCAGTCAAAAAAGGGAAAGAGTGAAAAGAACGTAAATTAAAGAGGTGATAAGTGGCTGGCATAAAGTGTCGTTGCGATGCGGTGCTTCTCACTAAACCGAAAAAGTAGTGCGTTCACGGGCTGATAACATTATCAGGAGATGGGAGGTGAGACGTTGTGAGCGTCTGAGCCTATCAGTCGGCAAAAAAGCCACCAACTTATCGTGAACGCAATAAACGAACAAGTACTGGTAATGGCAACAAACTAGTCATTAACAAATCACCTGTGTAAGTGATGGGATGCTTCCTGGTACGAATATAAAGAAATTTCAAAAACTCAAGTAGCTAAGGAGGCAAAAGTAAGGACGTAATGGCATAATCTAGTCCTATCCGTTAATCGATAGGTTATAAGTCCATCTCTTGTGTAAAGGTTGTGGAGTGTGATTAAAGGTATATATTTATATTCATTATTCATTTATTTACTCGTTTATTTATTCACTTATTATTGTTTATCTGATGACTGTTGCTTATTAAATTTTTGATTATTTTTTGAAGCATTGCTAATCCTCCTTATCCGTGGCAACAGATATCTCTGAGGTCAACCGATATAACCTCGAACGTAACAGAAAACAGATATCTCTGAGGTCAACCGATATAACCTCGAACGTAACAGAAAGGATGAGATGTGCGTAAGTTTGGCTTGTATTCATTTGTGCTGTTATATATGGATAGGATAGTCATCCGGCTGTGTAGCACCACAACCGAACATTCCGCCTGGGACCCGCAGCCGGCTCTACTGTAGGAATCGAATTACCTCACTGGATTTCCGTCTCTTTTCTTGTCTTTTCCTTCTTTTACCTTCCTTTCTCTTCTTTTTTTGTTCTCTTCCTTCTGATCACTTATCAAAATGAATGCTTCGAAGAATGTTGAGTAAGACTTCATTGAATGAATAAGGCTGTACAGGAAAGTGAATTAAAAGCTATTCGGAGGAAAATGGTAATCACACTGAAAAAATCGAGATTTGAGCAGAACTTTCCCTTATCAAAACTAAACTATACAGTATGAATAAACCCGAAAGAACATCGTGACCTCAGTAAAAAAAACAGTCGAGGTTATCGAAATGCACTTGAGAGGACATTAGCGAGTGGCACACAAATGACCTGGAAGAAGGCAACTGTTTATGGTTTGAAGTAGGCTCGACTTCTGGAGAACTCTGGTCGGACTACCACAGAAGGCCAGTGGGGATCATCACCGAGAGAGTCATATTCAAAGAAGAAGAGAGTCATATTCAAAGAAGAATCAGGGAGAAGGTATGTTGCTCGACAGGAAGCAATCAAATAAAATTTCAATGGAAATATTGGGTCTACGCCAGGTTGAACCTGTTCGGGAGTCTCATTTAGAAGAAGGGGTCACTTTTTGGGGATATCCGATGGAAAAAAGATCTCCCCCCATAATCCCAGTGTGCATCACAGGGTCAGAAGGCTCCCACCATTAGTAAGTTTTCCAGGTGGGACGCTAGAATCTTCGGAAAACCCTTCTAATCGATATATTGCTAGAAAGAATGCCTAACTTCCATAAACAGACGCTTCTTCATTACCCACATTGATGTCGTAACAAGTTCATAAATCACCTCCCATGATTTCAGGAGGTTCGTTCACAATCACAACCTTTCTGCAAAATGATTCGACCTATCCGGGAGTGGGCGCTAGATTCGATATAAATAGAACGCAATAAAAACAGCTAACAATACGATGAAATTCAACGTTGTTCGTGAAATGGTAATCTGATCGTTCCGACATTTTTCCATTTCCATTTGGGCATTTTTCAGATCCGTATTCCGTCGAATTTCCTCTTGTAATTGTTTTTGAACCTGAAATATCGCAAATCTTACCAGTATGTAGAAAAACAGTCCTTCATTACTAAAAGGAGCTTCTGAATCAAAGGTCAACATCTAGCTGTCACACACTGCAAAAAAAACTCTAGATCGATCCATGACTACCTATGTAAAAGATATTAAATCGCATAGTATCTCTACATATAAATAATGAAAGTACTCTATAACATTTGATTTCAAGTCCTCAAGCCGAGCGATACTCCGGAAGTCCTGGGCCTTAGGCTAACGTCTCGGAAATTGGCAGAACTATAGCCAAATTTTAGTGTGAGCTTCGGTTGAAGAGCTGAAGCTAAAGATGAAGCGTCCGTAAAGCATCGGATGGCCCAAGTACATTGTAGGATCGCATGGAAGATAAATGTCTAACACCTTCTGGAGAACTTGACAGTAATCGGATAAATACACATTTTATGTGGGAAAGCTGGAGAGTTTGGAAAGAGAACGTGGTAGGATTTCAGATACCTATCGTCTCGATTGAGATAAGAGACAGGTGGCCTAAAAATCGGAGCGAGGTGATCATTTTCTAAATGTGGTCCGATTCCACTATGCTGCTTAGTATGAACCCAGCCCCAGTCGTCGAATACTTACAACTGACCAAGAAATTCATGTTTTACTCAATAGTGATAAGCCCTCAGACCTTTATCCAGCCAGTTGTAAGGTTTGAATTTTCCCGCTACTCTAAGATAAGATCATCAAAGGGGAGATTTGGTAGTTTCGATAGTTGCTGTTATGTAGTTAAGTGACTGTTGTGCTGCTACCGACTAATGTTACATTTTTTATTGCTATCTGCCCTCAATATCTACTCTGTGGGATCTCGATGCCGACACGAAAAAGAAACAGAAAAAACGAAAAGTTGGCAACCCTCCACAAAGTATGAGACTCATTCGCGTAAAACTAATGTTGAAAGCATTATTCCAAATAATATATAGGCGAGCGCGAGTGTAAAATGTTACAGTAACCAGTACCAGGTAGTGATAGCGCTTATTGTAATCAGCCTCATAGAAGTGTAATTGAAGATTAGGAAAGCATACATGAAAGTAAAAGATGGGCAGTCATAGTAGGAGGGGCGGACGGTTCGGGGATCCGATCTCGTAACAACATTCGCTAGGCCTACAGGCAAAACCGCATAACTGATTCTGGGCATCTACAAGCCACACAGCAGTGGTTTACAAACATCCCTATCCGACTCCTCCACCCCTTTTTCGGTTTCCGACCCAGTCATTTCATTTTATTATCAAGCTTTCTAATTGATTCACTGCATTTGACGGTGGTGTGGTGGCAAATGACGCGCTAACATACACGCAAAGTCACGGGTACGAATCCCGAATCGATATCCGCCTAGACCAACCAATCCTCCCATCCCTCCAAGGTCGATTAGTTGGTACCATACTTGTCTGAGAGTACAAGAACACTGACTTGTACAACTGCTAGCCACCGCAATTCATTGTATAGGCCACATAAGCATTTCAACTCCACTACAAATCTGAATGGAAGTTGGATGCGGGGCGTATTCCTCAGGTGGGACTAAATGGCGTCCGAAGAACTTCTCCTTCTCATCCTTTATTAATCAAATTATTTGAAAAAGTTTTATTACTACTACTAGGATTCCTGCACCACACTATTTTCTAGAACGATAATTTTTTGATGGTAGCCTCCAAAAAGATAAAAAAAAGTTAGGATATTTACAAATTTCTGAAAAAAAATCTGAGCCTTGTACACTTGGGGGCTCCTCTCACTTATACTACACGACGCTCAGCAGTCCTAAGAAAATAAACCGACATAGTTACAAAAAGAGGAATGTTGGACTTATATATGAGAATATCTGTGGAACGGTCTGATGGCGTTACAACTAGTGGGAAGCTCTGAGGCTAATTTGAGGCCAACGTTTACAGCCGTTTCTTTGGTTCCTGTTGTTTACAGGGAATAATCGTAATTTGTAAATAAATGCTTCTTAAAGTCAACAAAAACAGTCCCATTTGGGTTACATTCCACTGACCGTTGTAACGTATTCTAGCGCTTCTTCCCATTGCTTCAACAGCTGTTCATTTTGCAGCTCCAACTTTTCTCGTTCGACGAGCGCCTGAGTAACGAAGTGCAATGGAAAAATTGACAGGAAGCCAAGAAAAAGTAAAAACGCACCTGCTCAAGACGCTCTCGTAATCGATCGCACTGATCGCTGTAGTTGGATGTGGATTGAGATGGGGAACTTGATGTGACATATCGTTCGATTACCGTAATCTCACTGTCACTGGGTATTGAATCCTAAATTAGCTGATTGTTATTTTATAGGTACATACTTCCTTTGACGTGGGCTTGGCCTTTTTTCTAAGACCTGGACCTTTCTGGCAGCATCCAGGTGAGTACCTATGTACGATCTTCATCAGCTATCGACAGGACTCAGAACTTACAAGTCCCGTCTACGAGTGGGTTCCCTTGTTGAAACCCACAAATGAGCTTCTCCCAACTGGCTTATGTGAACCTATGTAAGAAGTATCGTGTAAAAACGAGAGGTGCCTCAAAACACAACGAAATATCGATTTTCTTGAATGTCCCCAGAAGGTGTGGCTAAAGCACTTGGTGGGCAGACAGTGTTTGAAACGGTCAGCTATCGTGACAATGGCTTAAGAACGTTCCATTCTACCAGGCGAGATTGAGGTAGTGCTGTCAGCCATAGACCATTATATGTAGAAGCTCAGACTGGAACAATTTCTGGGAAACCCTACTCATTCTACTTCCATCGGGATCGAAGCGTATGTGGTCTATCTACGCAAAGGCTAGAGGTGGCCAGCTATGTATAAGACATGCTACTAACCTTCCAGACAGATCTGGTACCAATAACCGACCCCGGAGGTGGAGGGATGGAGGTTCTGCCTGGCCTAGGCAAATATCGGTTGGTCGCGGAAGGATGGAAGGGTTGATTGGGGATGGTGTGCTGATGTACCAGACGTACCAGTTTTTCGTTAATTTCCTAGATCTCACTACTATTACTATGCCATTACATACCGTACCCATGGGAACTGAAAATAGAGAAAAAAATGGAAGAAAACTCAGTACCATAAAGTCTTACCACATCACTTGGTACCCGTTTCCGCTGTCCGCCGTTGGTAAGCATAGCTTGCTGAAAGCAATCGATAGACCAAAATGTTTCAGCATAATCAATATTATATTGATTGGATAAATCATTAATCTGTAGTTTAATGTATTTATATAAGCGGTAACTTTGAAAAAAACTATAAACTCACTATTTTCACTCAAAAAAAAAACGATCTGCAGACGCTTTTTAAAGACAATGTACAAGAAGAGTACATGGGCGGGGCGAAGAAGCGCGATAGTTGACAAATGTCCCAATCACGTTAGCTGTTCGCTTCTTCTTTGAGACAAATGTCAATCAAAGGAAATCAGCCCACGTTGCCTTCACCCCTACGCACGTCATTTACACTGTCCCTTACAGGAAAGCGATTTGCGAAAATGCCTACGAAAATCTTATTTTTCCAAAAGGGCCGTACACTCGGGGCACGCTTCAGATTTGGTCATACAACCTACCAAAAAGCTATGTAAATGGAAGAATAACCCATAATTGGCATGATGGCTTGGAAACAGCCTTGTAAAGGGCTAGAAACCCTAAAACCTTGCAAAACAGGAGTGCCACACCTCACTAGCCTCCATGAGTACATAAAATAGCGTTGAAAACGAAATCAATGCAGAGTCATCCGACCATACGAGCGGTTTCATTAGCCTGTGAATTCTTGAAATTCCGAAAAATTCTCAAACTCGCTTAAAAATTTTATTTGACTAGAAATAGAGCAGTGACTGGGAAATACCGCAGTGCACCTTGGAAATCCGAGCCCTCTTCGAAAACCTCACCTTTTCCGTCATCATGAACTGCAAATTGACGTAACACTTCTTTGAAAAGATGAGAGCACAGAGTCAAAGATCGACTGACCACCGAAAATCCGAGCAACAGGTGAACACGCATACAAATTCTACCATTTCAATTGAAAATCGAGTATCATACCAGAATCAGAATAAGGAAGGTATAACGGTATTCTTCCGTTCACGAAGAAGAGAAAATTGAAACAATCAAGAATATTATCAATTAATTAGGGTCTACGAAGAGTACAGATGAGTAAGATATCTATTATTCAGCTGGGTAACGCAGACCCAGTTGAACTCCTGCAACGAAAACTACCCAGTCGATTACCGTAGCTATTATAGATAACGACCAATAAGGGGAATATGATGTGACACACGATTGATTACAGTAATCTTACTGTAAATCACAAATGTCTATTACAATGGCCATGAGAAGGGTTAAAAGACGACTTGTAGAGAAGAAATCTGTGCCGCCGGGCATTATCGGATCCCA